CTTTGGATCTGGAGGTCACGCAGTGGGATGGTTTCCTTTGTGTTGGCACGCCAGTTGGGGTCCAGTGTTTTTGGACTATGTTTGTCGGGGTTGTGCTATCGAGATAGTTGGGTGGACTTTAGAGTTCGATTTCGTCGTTTTCGACATGACGGGTTTTGATGTCATTCTCGGGATGAACTTGTTGTTTTTCTTTCGTGCTACGATTGATTGCTTCCGTGGGCGAGTGTCTATTTGCACTCCTACGGGAGATCGTTTTCACTTCGTGGGAGATCGGAGCGATTCCCACTCGACGATGATTTTCAGCATTGGTGACTGGAGTCGCCACAGGTCCTACTTGGCTAGCCTGTTAGCTGACGAGGATAGCAGTTTGGGTCGCGTTTATCCAGCGGTTGTTGTGGAGTTTCTGGATGTTTTTCCAAAGGAGTTGACGGAGTTACTTCCTCTTCGGGAAGTTGTCTTTGTCATCGACGTCATTCCTGGAACTGCGCCAATCTCTATGGCACCGGCAGAATTAGATGAGCTGAAAGCTCAATTGGATGATTTGAAAGCTAAGGGCTTTATTCGTCCTAGTGCTTCACCCTGGGGAGCACCGGTTCTTTTTGCAAAGAAGAAGGATGGGTCTTTAAGACTTTGCATCGATTATCGTAAGCTGAACCATGCTACGATCAAGAACAGGTATCATTTGCCTAGGATTGATGACTTGTTTGATCAATTGAAGGGAGCGACATGCTTTTCAATGATTGATTTGAGATCAGGTTACTATCAGTTGAGGATTAAGGATGAGGATGTATCCAAGACCGCTTTCTGCACATCTGCACATGGTATGGCCATTATGAGTTTCTGGTGATGCCATTTGGTTTGACTAATGCTCCAGCAACTTTTATGCACTTGATGAACCGTGTATTCAGTGACCATCTTGATAAATTCGTAGTGGTCTTCGTCGACGACATTTTTGTATACTCAGCTTCGGTAGAGGAACATGAGTATCATATGAGAGCAATTTTGCAGATCCTTAGGGATAATCGGTTGTACGCCAAGTTCGAGAAATGCGAATTTTGGTTACCGGAAGTGAAGTTCCTTGGACATGTTTTGTCAGGGGGCGGTGTTACAGTAGATCGGTCAAAGATTGAATAAGTGATGGATTGGGAATGTCTGAAGACAGTGTTTGAAATTCGGAGTTTTCTTGGCCTAGCCAGCTACTACTAGAGATTTGTTCGGGATTTCTCTCGTTTAGCAGCACCTATGACTCAACTTACCCGCAAAGGGGTCAAGTTCATATGGAACAAGGCTTGTGAGTTTGCTTTTCAGGAGTTGAAGGTCAGGTTGATATCAGCTCTAGTTTTGATCATTCCTGAATGTGGTTTGGGTTATGTGATCTTCTGTGATGCTTCACGGGAAGGTTTGGGTTGTGTCTTGATGCAGACAGAACGGGTGGTTTCTTATGGGTCTTGACAGTTGAAGACTCACGAGTTGAACTATCCGACACATGATTTAGAGTTGGCAGCAGTTATCTTTGCCCTGAAAGGGTGGAGACACTATTTGTACGGGGAGAAGTTTGAGGTTTTCTCCGATCACAAGAGTCTCAAGTATCTCTTCTCTCAGAAGGATTTGAACTTGATACAACGCAGATGGGTTGAGTTCATGGAGGACTATGACTTTGAGTTACAGTACCATCCGAGTAAGGCCAATGTGGTGGCCGATGCATTGAGTAGGAAGTCACGGGGGACTCTTGCTAGCATTTCCATTCACAGAATGGAAGATGTTAGAAGAGCTTGTAGATTTTGGTTTGCAGTCTTATGAGGACGCTTCATCGACTATTTTGTTTAGCCTTGTGGCTCAACCGGCTCTTGTTAGCAGAGTTATTGAGGCACAGTTGGAGGATGGGGAGATGAAGGCCATCCATGTTCGGATTTCAGGCGGTGAGAATGTAGAGGGTTGGACTTTACATTCAGACGGTGGTCTCAGGTACAAGGGGATGATGTTTGTTCCTTTGTCTTGTCGTGAAGACGTTCTTCGGGATTTTCACCACTCTCGACTCGCAGTTCATCCTGGTGGTACGAAGATGTATCACAATCTGCGGCGACAATTTTGGTGGCAAGGTATGAAACGGGATGTTTCATAGTTTGTGACTCGATGCCTTACTTGTCAGCAAGTGAAGGCATAGCATCAGCGATCGGCAGAATTGTTGCAACCATTACCAGTGGCTGAGTGGAAATGAAAGCATATCATTATAGATTTCGTAACGGGACTTCTGAGGTCTCAGGCAGGGAATGATGCCGGTTGGGTCATAGTTGACAGGTTCACTAAGACGGCTCACTTCTTACCCATGGCAGTGATAGACAGTGTAGAAAGATTGAGTGGACTGTATGTGAGACAGATTGTCAAGCTTCACGGGTTCCTGTATCCATTGTTTCGGATAGGGATCCGCGGTTCACATCTCATTTTTGGCAGAGTTTTCAGGAGGCTCTTGATACGGGGCTTCATTTTAGCACGGCATTTCATCCTCAGATTGACGGTCAGTTAGAACGCATCATTCAGATATTGGAGGATATGTTACGGGCTTGTATCTTGGATTTCGGTGGTAATTGGGATGACTATTTGCCTTTGGTTGAGTTTGCCTACAATAACAGTTACCAGACCAGTATTGGAATGGCACCTTTTGAGGTGTTGTATGGCAGGCCTTGCAGATCTCCAGTTTGTTGGACCGAGGTCGGTGATGCCGTTACCTTGGGTCCTGACATTGTTATTAAGACTACAGAGAAAATCAAGTTGATTCGACAGCAGTTGGTTACCGCACGGAGCAGACAACAGAGTTATGCTGACAGGAGGAGACGACCCTTGTCTTTTGAGGTAGGAGACCATGTCTTTCTCAAGATTTCTCCACGGATGGGACTTCTGAGATTTCGACAGACTGACAAGTTGTCTCCTAGGTTTATTAGACCATTTGAGATTTTGGAACGCGTTGGTGAGGTTGCTTATCGTTTTGCGTTGCTGCCAGACTTGGATAGGGTTCACAACGTATTTCATGTGTCTATGCTGAGGAAGTACGAGTCAGATCCATCACATGTTTTGTGATGGACTGATGTGGTTGTTAATGAGGACGTGACCTGTGAGGAAGGTCCGGTCCAGATTCTTGATTCACGGGAGCAGGTCTTGCGGACCAAGACCATTCTATTGGTTAAGGTTTTGTGGAGACACCACGACGTTGAGGAGGCTACCTGGGAGCTCGAACAGGAGGTTCGCTCTCGGTATCCCCATTTGTTCTCTCTTTTAGGTACGATTCGATTTCGGGGACGAAATCCCTTTAAGGGGGATAGGTTGTAATGACCCGGTCATTTTCCTTCTTTTCTTTTTTTTCGGTAATTTCTTTTTTCGTCTTTTCCCTTTTTCGTCCTTTCGTCATTTTTCATTTTTCCTTGCATAACCTCACTTTTTGTGGTCGGATTTGATTCCGGCTTTGCATGCGTCCATGATATTTCATTTCCACGTTATCTACATTTTTACTTTTGTAGAAAAACATGTTAAATTGGTACTTTTCTTGTAAAGGGCATGAAATCATGACTTTTTGGTAATTATCCTTAACTTGAGGGGTTTTTGTGTAATTAAGTAAAGTAATTATTTTTCGTCTTAGGGACCATTTCGCAATTTAATTTGGAAGATATTTTCAAAAAGGATCTTTATGCAATTTTCGGAAAGTGTGACAAGGGTCACACTCTCATTGGTCCACTTGTTGACATTTGTGTGGAAACACTTTGATGCCTTGGATGATGACATGTGGAGGGTGGAGATTCACCCACTTGTTGGCCTAGGATTGGTGCACTTGTTGGCATGGATGGTTGACAAGTGTAGGTTCAATGTTGAGTCTAGGAAGTTTACATAGGATGGTGACAAGTGTAGACTTGAGATTAAGCCTAGGAATGAACCATAGATTCTTGACAAGTGTATGACTCACCTTTAGTCTTGCAAGTGTGTGTGTGTGTGAGGTAGTGCAAGAGTATCTAGTGAGTGGAGAATCCCACCATTTAGCTTAGGGTTTACACATTTGTCTCATTTTCATCTCTTTCCTCTCAAGAACCCTAACTTAGCCACCATTGGAGAAAAGCTTGGTTAATAACTTTCTTCTTCATTTTGGTGCTCTTCCACTCACCTTAGACTTATAAGCTTGGAACACTTTACCTTCCTCTCATTCTCCTCTATAAAACCCTTGTTTGGCTTTTTATTTTTAAGCTTGGTTGCCTTGGATTATAGAGATTATATTCTCTATTGAGGTAGGGGGTGTTATAATTTATTTTCCAAGTGATTTAATTGTTCTTATAGTGATATCCATGTTGTATGCATGTCTTGTATTGAAATAAGAAATAAATGAATTAATTGATTTAAATTGATTTAAATTCTACTTAATTGTACCATGCTTAAATTCCATTTTTGAGTTGACATATAGCATGTGCATGAGCTACTACTTGTCATATGTTTAATTGGAATCATTTGGACAACTCTTGAAATCTAGAGAAATTACTTAATTAGTTTAATTAATTTCTATCTTATTGTTCTAATGATTTAGTCATTCAATTCATGGATCTTGTTGTGTTTTATCACATATCATGACTTGTTGCTCTATTTGTTGATTTTGAAAACTTGGGATATTATCAAGAACATGACTTAGCTAGGACTTGGTTCTAGTACGGGAGATAGAGAACGCCCTACACTATAATGCGTACTAGCGGAAGGTATCCATGGGTTAATAGCCCTAAAGTGATCCCAAGAGTACGGTTTTAATTCGGGCAATATCCAAGTATCCACTTTGGTTTGATTTCGCATTTAAATTCCAAATTGTTAACTTTATGAATTTACATCTCATTGTGCTATGTTGAAAGTTTTAATGTCACTATAATAGCATGGATTAAATTGTATTGAATTGCAAACCTTGTATAAAGATAAACCTATGCATTCCCTACGAGTAAACTTGTTTACTCACCTCGAAATTACCTGGTGTTTTTCAGGTAAGGAAGCTATATTGTCGGATGCACAACAATCTTAGACTTGCTAGACCACTTGGAGTATTTTTGCTATGTTAGAATATGCACATGTTTGCATATCACACTTCTTTTTGGTTGTTATGTCAAGATATGTATTTCTTGTTCAAACTATGTAATATGCACTTAAGTGCACCTTTTGTTACTCTTAGAATGTGTTGTAATGAGGCCAAGGGCCAAAGACACTTATGGGACATGTCTGTTAATTTTAACTTCATTGTTGCCTATGGGAGATATGTGATTTAATGTATTGAAGGGTCATATTTTGTATATGATATGCCATGAGGCCATAGGTCATTGTAACGCGTCTATTTTATCATATTACACATGCGTGCATGGTTATTTCCGGGAAAAACCCATTCCTTGGTGATTTGAGCCTTCAATAGACTCATTTCACATTTCTTTTGCAAAAACTGAGCATAAGGGCATTTTGGGGTTATTACATGAAAAATAAAGTTTCCTTTTGGCATGGTTAGCTAGAAAATATGATTTTGGGGAGGGTTTTTTCTTTGTGTTTTTCTCAAAAATGCCCAGAAAGTCCTTAAAATCACTTTTTAAGTCCCAAAAGTTGCTAAGCTTGTCTGCAGAACAAACACTCGTGTATGGGGACGAGCGCTCGCAAATGGGGCAGTAGAATTTTGCCCCTGGGTGTGCACCGTACGAGCGCTCGTAGCCGTTGTACGAGCGTTCGTCCGTCCCTTTTTCAGCACTACACCTCCGACTTCAAATTATCATATCTTCCTTGTTTTAAATCTGAATTAGTCCGTTCTTGAATCTAAACTGACCGCGTCGAAATAAGTTTTCCAATGGTACCAATTAGAGCTTCAGATTCCATTTGAAACTTAAGTTATTCAAGTTTTAGTGAGGTAGTATTAGGATTTGGTTGAACCGGAAAGGGGTTTTCTTTTCTTAGCTTCAAGACTTGATATCTTTTTCGTCCGGACTCCAAATCAAGTCATTCTTGAGTCTATTTTTATTAATTTTTTGTTGTCTTTCCAATGGTATGCTTGGTAGTATCCATTTCTCTATGAAATGACCATTTTACCCCTAGGTTCATTCTTGTCCGTTTTTGAAACGTCGCTTCTGCACTTGTTTTCTTTGGGTTCTGTGATATCATTGAGGGTCACCTTGGTGTCTTATAGACAAGTAGTATCTCTAGAAACCATTGTTTTACCTTTTGCATCCGTATTTCGATTCATTGTTGGGTTTATGTTCAGGTCACCGCTAACGCACCGGGTTGGATAAAATTCGGGTCGTCACAAGAAACCTCTGCTCTTTTCTTACTTCTGCATTTCAGACTCGATATCGGGTCAATTTTCAGGTTACTTGCTGACGCTTCGGGTTATGAAAATTTGGGCCATCACATATGCAATATGATCGATGGATTATATCTAATGGTTACCATACATGGTGTGGATAAAATTTCTTACTCCACAGTGAGTAAGACATCACCATTATATATATATATATATATATATATAGAGAGAGAGAGAGAGAGAGAGAGAGAGAGACCCTTTTATTAAAAGTACAAGGGGATGAAGGTGTTTCAAATCATTTATAAATTAAATAATCTATCAAATAATAAAATAAGTTACCAATTTAAATAACTCCTAATATGCTCGGAATTCTTTAAGGTTTAAACAACTAAAGCAAGTTATCAATTCGGAAATTTTCAAAGTTAAAACAACTAAAACTAATTACCAAATAAAATAAATTTATTAAATAATTTATAACTAAAATAATAAAATAATTTAACAAATTATAAAATAAGACCAATTAAAATAACTCCTTTTGGAATTCTTCAAGGATAAAACTACTAAGACGAGTTACCAATTAATTAATTGTGTTTGACAAACAATATTAATTAATTTATGCTTTGATTTCAATTGATTTTTTGATCTATATATAAGTCGATGTATTAATCATGTAATTCTTCGGTGTAAGTGTATATAGTATGATAAATATTTGTATAATTGCGTTTCCTTTTTAGTTTTTTGCTTTTAGATTAATATTTGTTTCCTATAAATTCATATACGTATAGAGTAACTTGAACCAATTTATATATGATTAATTTCACGTAGAAATAGTCTCACACACACACACACACACACACACACATATATATCTCTCGTAAACATATCAAATAGTGTCCTACCCTTCTATTACCTTCTATTTATTTATTTTTTGCTAGACATAGGCCTAAAAATACTTGGAGAGAAAAGCCAATGAAAAGAATTCAAAAATGCTTTATAAAGTTTGTTTTTGGATTTAGGGTCCCATATTTAGAATTACTAATTTGATTTTTGCCTTATCTATAGTAAGCCTAAATTAACTGCTTTTTATTATTCCTTGTGAGGGATAATTTTTATTTGCTAATTCATTTTCTCGGAAGACATGGTATACTATAAATAGTTTAAAACAGACTCAAAGAATGTGTGTCAGGATGGCCGAGTGGTCTAAGGCGCCAGACTCAAGTTCTGGTTCTCGTGAGAGAGCGTGGGTTCAAATCCCACTTCTGACAATAAATTTTTTTATTTTTTTAATGCATATATATTATTATGTATAAATTTGTGCTCCAACACTTGGGGTTTATTTTTGGTTAATAATATAATGTGAAAATGCTATCAAGGTTGAGGGTTCATCAAGTCGACAAACACACACACCCTTTTTGTCCACGTCTAAACTCGAATACCTCCCCTCCTCTCCTCTTTGAAAATAGGAAGATTATACCACTAAGTCAAAGTTCTTTTGATAAATTTTTACGTTATATTATTTTATATAAAAAAATTAAGGAAAATCAGTAAGAGTTCAAATGAAATCTTTGTACTAATTGTGAAAATGGGCAGTTGTTTTTGAGCAAAATAGAGGGAGTGCTAAGAAAAAAATAGAAAGTACTGTGTAATCCAAGAAATACATATAATTGTGCTTAAAACCTTTTGCACTAATGTTTTATAGTCCAAGTTAGGAATCATTTGTGGAATAATGGTTGAGATAGAACATTTTAAAAACCTCAGTTGCAGGAATGTTTTAGAGTCCAAATTTAAGAATCATGAGAAAACAAAGAATTTCTTTTTTCATGTTTGAATTTAGGGTAAATTATACTAAGAGCGTTTGGCTTTTATTACTTTGACCTCCCCTAAAAGTGTAAAATGTCTTTCATATCCTTATTTAATTTAATAAAAACAATATGTCAAACAAAAAGACCCTATTTCCCTTGCCTTTTCTTTTCCCTTCTTGTAAACATTATATTACCAATATATATATATATATTGAAAAAAAGAAACCTAATAAAATGTTATTAACAAAAAAAAAAAAAAAAAAAATATTATTTTTGTAAAATATAATAATGTGAAATTGATATGCAAATTGATACTTTGCATTTTAATGGCATTTCATAATATTTTTGTCATCTCATGTCAAAATTTAGGTTATTGGGGTCTTTTAACATAAGAAAATGGTACTTAGTCAATTTTTTTTATTTATTATTTTCATTATCTTCAGAGGGTCGTGATTAGTGACTATTAATCGTGCTTAGTGATTTCTAATCATGCTTAGTAACTTTTAATCATGATTAGTTACTTTAATCTTGCTTAATGAGTTAATCACTTTTATTGGGGCAATTACTTGATTATGCTTTAGTGGTGGGGGTTGTGGAATAAAAGAGAGCTGGAAGGACTATATGTTAATTTTACAACTTTGGGGGCATGTTTCTTTACTTTGCGAAAGCTGTAACTAGTTGTGTGAGTCGTCTCCAACATGTGTGCTGGAAGGGATAAAAGAAAAGAAAGGAAAACAAAGAAAGAGTTGGCCCAGAGTTAGAGAGGAAGGCGAGAGAAAGAGAAGAAGATAACGAAAGGAAAATAAGAGAAGAAAGGAAGAGAAAAGGGGTAGGGCTGTAATTTCTCCATCATCATCATCATCATCTTCACTTGTTATCTTTAAATTGGTAGGGATTCTCTAGCTTTTCCTTGTTTGTGTGATTTTCTTCTAAAGATTCCATTTGATTGCTGGACTATGTGCTTTTACACTTCTGTAACATCATACTTGTATTTTCAAAAAGGTGTTTGGGTGGTTTGATGAGAACTGAAATTTCCTTATTTTCTTTGATAAGCGTAACTGGTTTTCGATGGGAGTTAAGTAGTACTAAATAAATTTGAGACTAGGCTATTGTTTATGATTGAAGTTCTTTTGAGAAATTCTGAAATGTTTTCTTCATGGTTCATACTTGGGAGAGGAAAGGGGGATGTTCCGAAAATTGAGTAAGCAGGCTACGAGCGGTAGGGTGAAAGTCCCAAAACCAACGTGGAATGCCCTTGTTTGGGTAGGGAGAGTTTGAACCAAACTGGTTTGAAGGGGAAGTGACTGTGTGGGACACTCTTGGATGTACACAAGCTGTTCGTATAAATGATTTATTTAGTGAAAATGGAAGGAGGTCCATAAGGGAAGGAGTTGTGATTTTGGGTTGTTCCTAGGTTTTTGAAATGAAAAATGCAGTGGTTTTGGTACTTCCAGTATATAAGCTTGAAACTATTTTGTGAAGTTATGTTTCTTTGACAAAAGCTTAATTTTTGCGTAAATTGCTTAACTAAATTCTCAATATGCATTTTAAACCTCATTCATGCCATTGTTAGATTATTTCTACCGAGCTATAAAAGTTCACCCCTATATGTTTTACTCCCCGGCCAGGTTTGTTTCAGAGAGATGCTTAAGGAAGAATGAACAGTAATTGATATCTGGTGTTTTCTAGGTACCTAATCTACATGACGAGAGTGTTATTTGGAATTACTTGTATTGAATGTATAATTGTATGTAATAGAATTAAAGATGTAATTGTTATTGACTCGAAAACCTTGGATTATGGTTTTATCAATGGAATATCTTTTAAAATTTGGAATTTTGAGTAGTCTTTTGATATGTTGATAGCGATATTTCAGGATTTTATACGGGTCTCTATTTCTTCCAAAAGTTCAAAAGTTCAAAAGTTTAGTCGACATATTGCCAAAAGTGGCAACTAATGAATCTTTCGAATGGAAATTTTTTTTCATGAATTTTAAATACAAACTCGTTGAAGTTATATATATTTTTTGCTAGAAAGTAAAATAACCTTAGTTTCCTTAAATTCCTAAATCCCTCTAATCATACCTCATATTTCGGAATCAAAATCCGGGGCATGACAACATGCGCCAAATCTCAAGGGAGGTTAAAGTAATGAAGGTCAAACGTTCTACTTGAGTGTAATTTATCCAAACCTCAAAGGAGGTCAATCTAATTTATCCT